GTTACTTTATCTTGAAATTCAAATTTTCAGCACGAAATTGTTTGTGTGAATCTCAAAAACTAAGAAATTTCTAGAATTCAAAATCGAGCTACCGAAACTAGATGAGTTATACACCATTCGCTGCAGTGTTTCACGCTGATTCCGAATATGGTATTATATTTGAAGGGAAGTGCATTTATAAGCGAAAAAACCATGAAATACCCCGAAAACCGTATGGGTTTTTAAAAATTGATGATTCGACTTAGATAAAAAGTCGCAAAAAGTCGCATGCATTGTAGATAGAGTGGGTGTTCGGAAACATATTGATATATTTTATTGTTATTTTCGAGTTCAGGAAAATCGTGGAACTCGACTATATTGAGGTCGTGTCAGTTCGAATGAAACTGGGTATACTCCATTACCCATTCTTTAGTGAATTCGATATGGAAATGTAGACATTTTTATATCAATAGATAGGTGAGGGCATGCTGATTCCGAATATATCCTTTCGAATCGTTGAAAGCAGCTGTGTGAAGAAAAAATTACATTTTTGTGCATGCACGTCATGGTTTTCGATATTCGTATTGCAGTTTTCGTGTCCTTCTTTCTCCACTTAGGAGTGAACATCAAAATAGACGTTCATACACCATTCGATAGAGAATTCAAAGGGCTACATTTTACACTAATTATATTTGAAAAAAGAACAAATCGACTTTTCCGCCTAATGTCCGCTTGGATGCCCACTGTGCATCTCGCTCATCAAAGACATCATGTTCACTGAAATTTCATGCAATATCTTTCCACTAATGAGACGTACTTGTTCCACTGTATACGAAGTTTAAGTCCCTCTTTGTATTAAAAAAATTATAAAATGATAGAAAATGCGAAGAAAGTTTCTTAATGGTCTTACTACAAAAAAATAGGAAGACGAAGAATGTTCAACGGTAAGACATACTCTTTCATTGCATCAAGTAGTGATAATTTTAAGTCAGTGGATTTACATTGATAGGGAATACCATATGCTTGAGATTTGCTCAAATTTTCACATGACTATAAAAGATTGAAACACAAAGTAACTAGTTCCACGTTGAAGTGAAAACGAGGAAAATGATTGATTGTTCGAATTAGGCATGCACCAGTTAAAAACTGGTGTTAAAGCTTCCATGAAAATTATTATACGCCTATAGCGAACTACTGAGAGTCGTGGAACCCCTCATTTTGTAGAGAACTATGTGGACTACAATTCCATATAAATAGAAAAATGTCAACATTATCTTTGATACTAATATGAGTATCCTAAAATGCACTACACTCAGAAAAAAAACTGTTTTTTTCTAACTTGAACAGGGTTTTTTTCCAACTTTAGTGCATTTGAGAATACTCACATTTTTGCTAGAAATAACTTCAAACTCTTTTTCACAGTGGACTTTTCAAGAGCAAACATTTCTCCACAAAATGAGTGGTCTTGTGACTCTGAGTAGTTCTTTATAGGCGGCTAATAACAATTTTTGTGGAAGGCCTAACAGTAGTTTTTAACTGGTGCATGCCCAGTTCTAACAGATCTCGGAAAGAAATTTCGATTTTGTATAGTGACACTATAACTGAAGCTATATTTTGTAACCATATTCAGCTTGTAAGTGCACGATACTCTCTTACTTCAATAATCATTTTCGAATAAGAATGTGTTTGCTCATCAGTGTCCACTCTGTTCGATTGCTGTTGTTCTTCGTCATCTAAGAAACATTTTCGTTTTCGACTACGACCGTTATGTTTCATTTGTGATGGTGACTGATCTAATGCATTTTCATTTTGATCATGACAACTATCGAATGGAGGAACAAATTGTAAACAGTTGAAATTTTCGATTAGCTAAATAGAAGAAAAATTATAGCAATATTGGAACAATGAATAGATGCAGCGTATATTATTACGTTTAGATAATTAACTGCGTCATTGTACATATCGGTACATATCTGATATGATGACTCCATTCTGATAAGTACAAGAAAAGTAGCATTAGCCTAATCATATCTAGTGATCGACTCGAATTGTGAGATCAATCATGCTAATTTGTGTCCAGTACATTAAGCGAGTCACGAAGCTAGATGTTGGATAGGCTGAAGACGGCTGAAGATCTATCTACAGGAAAAAATAGATGTTTATTTTGGAGTTAACAGTCTGGCTTTCTAACGTGAAAAATCTCAAGGAAAATCAGTTTGTTATTAGCATGTCTTTTGTTTGAATAAAACGCACTCTTTAACAAAACACTCAACACACTCGTAATGAGAAAAATTTATGGTAGTTGAATTAGCTGATCAAATAGGAAGAATAACATGTCTCAACTAGAAATTGCACTAAATACATTAATTTTTGAGGTTTAAAACGTATAAAAAGTCATCAATTTCAAAACGTACTCAGTTAATCCAGGTAGTGAGAAATATTTCCATCTATATTAGTTCAATTCAAAGGTTTCAGTTATTCTATTAAAGTTTATAGTGATTTAGGACTAATTAAATAATATTTTGTCTGTAATACTTGCTTCCAGAAGAATTTTTAATGCGTTGTATTCAATTTATATTGTCATGATATAATATCTTCGCAATCGGGATTCTCATTTAAGTAATAAAATGAAAGCAATTTTTCTAATTCTGAAGAAACGAAAAGAAACTAACAGAAAAATGAAAAAATAATTTTTCGTTATAAACACATTTAACTCGAAAAATAGTGTGTGATTAAGCAAACAAAATCGAACAAAACCGACTTGATTCTATTTCTGACACAACATAAAATAGACGAAATGAAAGGCGCCAATAGCTACCTGACATTTGGAACTTCATTTGCGAGATACTTTTTCATCGACATTGCCGTTTTCACAGTATTTTTTCATCATTTCAATCTATTTTTTTTTGTCGGAAATGAAGCATACTAAGAGCGATAGACAATGTGTGGTATCGAAAATTATTTCATCGAATTAATTTCATCGAAATGTACTAATCGCCTATAAAACACTGTCACCCGTATATTATTTCATGATAGGAAAACATTTTCGAGACTGAGGTACCCTTCTATCGAATTTTTGGTCACGCCACTAGTTAAAAAGTGATTCGAGATATATGTGCGTTTAAAATAGAAGATTTTATGTTTG